ATGTGGTAATAATAATAATAATAATAATAATAATAATAATAATAATAATGAAGGAAACTAGTTATACCAGAACGGAACACCGAATGAATGAAAACACATGCATTACGTGTTTAATATCTTTATGCAATCAATGAGTTAACAAATATACGTTCACTACGCAAACTTGTGCGATTAGAAGATATATATTCTCTCAATTTGTATTTGATATTGTTGCTGTTTGTGGTATGGTATGAAAATAATAACTGCGGTCGTCTCATTCTGCAGGATCAATTAGAAATCCAAGTTGTGAAGCTTTGCTTTAACAAAAAAATTCATAAAATTGATTGTGTTAAAAGCGTTTCCATTTCTTTGATTCCGGCAAAAGTAATTACATAGAGACGCGCGTGTTCTACGAATACTTGCGTAAAACACAATCGCTCAGATCGCAAATCGCTCCAATTTCAGCCGAAGAACCCCCGCACTTAACTCTAGTTATCGAGCATAGTTGGGCGGAGCTCTCAAACGAAAGCCGACCACTTGGCGGAGTTGTAGTTGCGTCGATTCGCGTACGGAAATAACTCACGTATAGACAAGCCTGAGAGCCATTATACGTGACCTCGTACCATTAACTGGATTACTGGCGTACTTGTGGAGTGGCCGGTAAACTTGTACGTTGGGGGCGGTAATGCGGCCGAGCCTGCTGGCCGGGTGGAGGAGGCGGAGCAGAGGCACGGAGGGGGGGGGGTCTGCAAGTGTCTCCCAGTGTTTGCAAGTTGAGAGCCGAACCGAGCTCTTCGGTAAGTGGAGACTCTCTTCTTCGCCCCCTCCCGCAAACGCTTCGCGCGCCGTCTCTGGTAAGTAGACCGCGGAGTAATGCGAGGGGATGCAGCGCCGGCGGACACTTACCCCGTCTCCGACCTTCCAATTTGAGTCACGCTAACGACTCTTCTTCTTCTTTTTCTTTCTCCACCTTCGTCACAACTCCACCACTTCCATCTTTTCCTCCTCACCTCCACTTCCTCTTCTCCTCCTCCTCCACCTCTTTTTCTTACTCCTCCTCCTAATCCCCCTTCTCC